GCATCGAACAGCGCACACACACACACACACACACACACACACACACACACACACACACACACACACACACACACACACACACACACACACACACACACACACACATTTTATCTCACCATCAAAGACAATCCTGTGGGTGTACTGCAGAAATAATTTTCTTAAATCAATATGTTTGTTTAACACCATGCTTTGAACAAGGCACGTTTGCTTTGGAAGCAAAAGAGAAAATACGAAAAGTGTTTTTCGAAACCCAGTGGCTTTGCAAACTAATTTAAAAGATGTATTTATTTTGCATATTTACATGGATATACTTTACTTGGATATGAACTTGATATTTGCTTTATATTCCATAGTATAATTCACGCCAAAAGTGCAGAGATGAAGAATAAAAATCTTAAAATAATTCATTTCGTTTAACCAAAAGCTTTAAATTAAATGAAATATTTACAAAAAAAGTCTTTAACCCTTTGTAACCGCCTTATTGACCTTTTGTCCATAGGTTACCATTAAAACACCCCATAAACAAATACTGCTTTGAGTGGTGTCAGGAACATAATTTAAAAAAAAATAATAATAAATCCTATGAGTGCAAACTGAAAGGTCAAATTCGATGGCATTCAGAACAGAAGAAGAATTGAAAAGTATAAAATAAACCAATTATATTGCCATTCACTATTATCCATAAACTGTAAGCATCAAGCAAATCAAAATCAATTTAATTAAAGACTGAAACTAGTAGTGAATTGAACTATTCCAAAAAATCCATTTCTCTAATTCAGAATGCATTCACATATCTGCATATATTACCTTTTTTGCTTGATGACATTATAAAAATGTTTAAATTAATCGTTTATACATCCCCATTTTTCTCAAAAAACATTTCTAAAGGTGCTGTTGACTTTAAATTTCCACCAGGTATTGATAGCAGTCAAAGAAATCTGTATAAGCAAAGAAAAAAAATCTAATTAATTTACAAATGAAGTTCTTTGTAATAAAATGAAATGACACAGCAGGTCCTATCATACACCCGGCGCAATAGGGCGCAAGATGTGTTTGCCCAGATGTGTTGCTATTTTCAGACCAGCGCAACCCTAATTTCTGTATTCTGCCACGTTGTATAAATATCAAATCAATTTGTGCCCCTTTGTGGACTCATTTGTGTTCTGGTCTAGAAAAGAGGTGCGGTAAGGCACATTGTTGGTGCGTTGCTATTTTAAGAAACTAAGATAGACTGCACAATAGACCAGCTGAAAGCAGGTCTTAAGTCCAGCGTAGAGCACATTACTGTAGTTGTGCGTCTCGCTTACACATTGCTTAAAACATGCAGGATGTACAGCAATATGCAAATATACTTTACATATGAAAATGAATTAAAGGAATAAAATATTACAAAATATGCATAGTTATATTTGTTTTATTAAAAACAAGTTTAGATTTGTCCACCTGTCAGGTTTTTGGACCATATGGGGAATAAGAATAGGATATGTGTTTGGATATAACTCAGTTTTTTGACCACACTTTGTTATTGTTGCTGATTTACTGGTTTGCTGGAAATTAGAACTGAATTTAGAAATAGTTTTTAAACAAATATTTGTGTTTACCAAATTAAATTAATTATGTAGGCTAATGGATGCCTTCAGTGGAGTGAATACAACACCGAAAGAGAGAAAGAGAAAAAGGTTGATTGGAGGAGGCTCATTCTTTATCCTCACATTGCAGATGGTCTGTTTAACTGTTTTCTCACTACTGAAGCATTCCGTTTTTTCGCTTACAAAGTCCGCCATGTAAATAGCAAATTTCACAACTGACTCTTAACGGGAATGGGCATTGCTTTTGCGCCCTGCACTTTAGAATCTGTGCCTGGATTGTTAAAATAGACCCAAGGAAAACGTTTGGACACAAGAAGAAAGGGAGGTGTAGAAAGTCAGTAAGAGCCCAGACAGTAGCTCAAATCTATCAGTATCTCTTCAGCAACCCTCTGCCCTTCATCGTTGTAAATGATTATTAGCTGTTTCAGTCCAACATCTACATTATCAGGATGATGAAGATGAAACCAGAGTGGACATTTCAGCAAGACAATGATCCTAAACACAGCCAAGGAAACTTTCAAATGCTTCCAGAGAAAGAAAATCTGTAGAATGGCAGAGCTAATCACATGAATAGAATCCAAAGGAAAATAGAACATAAAGATCAGATTTGATAGACGAGACCCACAGAACCATCAGGATTTTTACACTCTGTTGAAACAAAAATCACACCTGAGGAATTCATGTGACATCATTCTCCATATGAGCTGCATTTAAGTAGTTCAGGTCTTTGTCCTTGTGTCATTCCATTGCCATTATTATTACACAACTTATCTTATATAGATTTTTTTGTTTTGTTTTATGTTTGTATTGGTTGGGTATTTACCAAAATCTGGTTCAATTCCATGTCAACAGCACCTTTAGAAATATTATTCCCAGGAAAAAAAAATATGTGTTCAATGCTTATTTTCCTTGCTGTACACCGTGTAAAATATGGTTTGTGTTTGTGATTCATTGACAGTAAATCTAAAGACTGTTAATCTGGTCTTGCTTTGTTCCCCAGCAGAGTTTACTTCCATTAAACGGACAGTGACCCAGAATCCAGCTGTTACAGTGGAGATGAATCACTGTGCAAAAATAGAAATACTATAAATAAAACATTAAGGGGCGGAAAAAACACAATAACTAACCACTATATGACTGTCCTTTTTTTTTAAATCTTTCGCTTTACTCAGCAGGGAAACGGCTACAGAAACAGCTTCTCGGTTTGCATGGTTAACGTCCTCCACTGAGCGTTTCTAAATTCACAGAACAGAAAGAATGATTCAGAGTTGTGAATATGCATTAGACCTTGTTATGATCCTCTTTTCTCTGAGCTGGAAGCGAGTTGGGGAATAAGGGCATGGTATAATGAAGGATTGTGTTTCTCCCTTGTAGGTATAATTACCATATTCACATGAAATATTGCTGATGTGCTCTGAATGCGTTTGGGCAGGTAAATGAAACATAAATTGAAGATGTGCGTGCTTACAATGGGCTGAAAATGTCAAATGTGAATTCCTCTCCGTTTCCATTTCTCTTCCTTTTACAATTTGGCTCCTTATCCACAGATTCTGCCCACGTTTTCTCTCTCTTATCCTCACTCCCTCATATGTGTTTGCCTGTCTAATATAAGCACATTTGCCAGACGTAATTTGATTTCGGTGGCAGAAGCTGCTCACTGATCAGTACCGTTTGATCAGATCTCAAAAATCTGTTCTGACCTTGCTGTTCTGTAATAAATAAATAAATATATATAAAAAAACACACCACAAAGATGAAAATCTCATCAAGAGCTGCTGCCAACCTTCATTTCTCAACTAAAGCATTAATAATAAAGCTTGATTCTGAAATAGATTAAAAACACACACACATGCGCGCGCACACACACACACACACGCAGGTTTTTTTGGCTCTCTCTCCAGCACTCTTTTCCCCTAGAGACACTTTACTGCACTCCAGCTATTCTTAGATGACAGACCCTTTCTACTGAGGAAATTTGGCTGTGCAGATTACAGTTATGCTTTTAATTGACTAAATATATATTCCGCTCTTTACATTCCATGATACAATATATGACATATTTTGGTTGTAAATTGCTTGCTGAAGGTAAAAAGCTAACAAAATGGCTAAGCTATGCACAGTACTTAAGTAGTTGACAATTCAACCATTTAAAATGCAGACAGGTCTGTTTATATGTAACACCATTCAAACATTTGGGGTCATTAATATTATAATAATGTTTTGTTAAAATGTTTAGATATTTCACTCCAAAAAAAGGAATGAACTGTTTCTGAAAGTTATTTTGCACTGATCGTAAACGTCAAAAATGATCATACTTGTCAACCATCCAATTTTTCCCGGGATCCCACTGTCATCCCATAAAGGTATTTCTCCCATATTTTTAATCTTTCTATGAAAGGTGGCATTAAACATTTAAAAGCCGATCCTCCCAATACGTAACCCATACCGCCGAACCATCAGGAGACGCCCCTTGCAGGATTCCATTCCTTTCCATTTTAGGCGCCATTGCCCCTTCTATGCAATCCTCAAAACAGTCAAGCCGCCTTTCCACTGCATACGACATTCAGACACGACTGTTGGAATATGCCCCCTTGTGGCAGTCGGCACAAGTCAGATGTGAATTTTCCACATTTAGAGATGATCGGAACTCCATGGAGCTCCCTGACTACTCTCCACTGGAAATTAAGGACTTCTGGTCTGTCGCTTGTCATTTATCATGTGCAGTGGAAAGGTGGTTTATGTAGTGGTGCGAGACACGCTCCATAGTCATAAATCAACGCTGTTTTCAAAACAGATTCTGTATACGCGATTTGAAGCAAAGCGAATGTGGACACTCTGGGTTTTAACTGTGTGTTTGAACACACATACAGACATAATAATAATAATAGTAATAATAATAATGATAATAATAATAATAACAAAAATAATAGTATCTAAATGTGTCGATCTTAAATGAACATAAAAAACTAGAAAAGTATTAAATACAAATTTAATAAAGAGGAAAAATCTAGAGAACCATATATATATATATATATATATATATATATATATATATATATATATATATATATAAAATTAACTTGAAATCTTGAGTTTGTGAAAAACTCAATATTTTTAAATGTATTACCTTTCTATTCTTAGGTATGTTTGGTGACCACACTCTTATTTTAATGAAAATAACTGTTTGATAAAACTGTTTTGTTTAAATGGACCAAAATATATATTTTTATACTCACTGAGATATTAATACAAATATTAATTTCAAGGGGAGTGTGCCCATTTTGGCTGGGCACTGTATATATATTTTTCTAATGTAAAGGAATACAAACATCTGTGCAGTGAAATGGATGGACATTAAATTAAATAAACCCTGTCAGACTGCGACAGAATGGGATGAAGTCTGTCTCTTGATGTTAACAGCCAAGAAATAAACCACTTTCAATAGATAAACACATACTAGAAGGCAAAAAGGAGCAGCACAGTTGAGCAAGCGTGGTATTCTCTGGTCAGTCTGGATCCAGCGCAGGACTCAAGAGCACTGTCAGCTACTGGCCATTCAAAGCTTCACTGCAACCACACAAGCTCCAGCTCGACCCAAACACAGCGGCGCAACCTACAACAACAAACACAAATCCCTCTTAGAGAGAATGCATTCAGCTTTACAAATGGTCTTATTATGGGACTGATGTTCTCTCCTTCAACACACACACTCACACAAACAATAGGAAATCTCAGTATGTGGGCGAGCATGTTTAAAGCTCTGGGTTTACAATATATAGTTATGCTTGAGTAAAGTGTTTGCTCTTTTGTTCAGCAAACTACTAATGTCATTTCTTCCAAATTTAACATTGTTTTCAATTTAAGTGAATGTTGCCATTTTTACACTAATATGACAATTGGTTAAAAATATAAAAAAATGCACCCTATTTTCAAACAAGTTTATGTTCATTTTAGAAAACACAATACCACTGTGTATATATATATATATATATATATATATATATATATATATATATATATATATATATATATATATATATATATATATAACCAAGACCAACTGTAGAAGCACTATCTCTCTCTCCCTCTAAAAGGAAACAAAAAAACACCCAAGGGGTCATTTACACCAAGAGTTTTGTTTGGAAACCTGGTGCGTTTCCCCAGTTAGCGCATTCGATTGGCATATGTGAATCCAGCAACTGCACTCGGATCCGCACCAAAACAATCAGTCCGAGATCACCTGAATGAGTTGGTCTCGGCTCGATTGAAATGAACTCTGGAGCGGATTGATTGTAGTGAGAAAGCAATATGGTCCGAGCCAGGCTATATCCCAGTGTATTATGGATATGTAATAGGATACAGCTATACGAAGAGAGAATTATGATTACGGTGGGATGTCATTCCTCCCAGTAAATATGCGTTTCATGTCAAATACAAAAGTGAAAGCATGCTATTAACATGCAATAAACTATTAACAAGAGCTGTTTACCTGTTAGGAAAATTGACCAAACAAGCCTTGTTTTTTTCTGTTACTTCACTCTGTAATGTAAAGCCAATAATGCATAATTCTAGCCAACGGCTATGTATGAGAAATTCTTACCTCTGATTTTTATCTGGTGACAATGTCTGTGGGTGTCACCATTCAAAATTTAAGCCCAGCTTTTTGCTTATAATGTCTTATTGCTCATCGTCATAAATTAAATAAGGACGCATGACAGCTGAGCGAGACTCTGCAAAATAAACCATTAAACTGACCAATGTGAGGAGAGTTTAGTCGCACGTGACTTGTTTTAGCTATTGTGGTCTATTTAGAAACTCTGCCGTGTGAAAGCAGACTTCACCAAGAGCAAAGTGCAACAATGTAACTATGTAATTTTAATCCCTGTTTTGGATCTAAAGAATCGATCCACTGGTGTGAAAGCACCCTTAATCTAGCACTAAATTTCCTAAGCACAAACAAGTTACCATCTATAACTAGCACTTTTTGTGTGTATTGCCTATTCTTGTTGAATGTCCCCTCAATTGTAAGACTTTAGACAAAAGTGTCTGCTAAATGGCTAAATGTAAATGTAAATAAATGTGTGCTAAATGACAGTAAGTGTATTGAAGTTTTGACAAAATGTCATTAAACTTTACAACCAGTACATCCAGAGAAACTGAGAATTTCTCCAAAGAGAAAAACTTAAAAAAATGGCTTCTTAATTTTTTTCCCAATAGCCATTTACTGTACATGACAATTTATTGCTGTTGTAAACAATAAGATTTATGTTTTATATAACAAGGTATAGTTTTCCAAAACATTTATACATGTATATATATATATATATATATATATATATATATAATGATTCTCATTAATCTACATCTCATTATAAATACAACTAATTGAGCAGTCTAATGCAAAACTTCTGAAGAGGTACAATGGCTTTATATGATGACAGATTTACAACACACATACACAGTAAATATGGACATTTAAGTCCATAATTAGAACATCATAAGAGTGAGTAAACTTAAAGCATTTACATTTTTAAATGAACAAACTCTTAAGAGTTTGGAAATAGTCATTTAGAGTTTTTTTTTTTTTTGGTGGCAGAGAGAGAACGAAAATGCTTGTAGAAAAACACTGATGCTGGGTTCAAACCAAACAAAAAGAGAACATGTGAATTGTGTCATTCTCTTTAGATTACTCACTGGATTACTCCATCTTGTGAATTTTTCAGATTAAGTAGAATTTGTTTGAAAACATTATCTGACAAAAATCTTGTTGCCTATCCAAGTTTCAGGAACAATAAACAATATCTTGACTTCTATTTGATCATTTCGTATCAGAAATGTCTTATTTGAAAGCCAAATGCCTTTAGATTATGCTTATTTTACAAAAATAAAGGTCTGACTTTGCTTAGACAAAAGCTCTGTCACTTAACAGAAATAATGTACCGTATAGAATATGAAGTCATGGTGCAGTGAGAAAAGAATTAATATTAAGTATGACTCCCATGAGCTTGGAGGATTGCATCCATACAGTACATCTCTGCAATGACTCAGATAACTTATTAATAAAGTCGTCTGGAATGGGAAACAAAGTGTTCTTGCAGTTCATCAAGATTCTTTGGATTCATCTTCAATGTCTCCTACTTCATCTTACCCCAGACATGCTCAACAATGTTCATGTCTAGTAACTGGGCTGGCCAATCCTGGAGCACCTTGAGCACCCTAGAGCACCTTTCTTTTCTTTTAGGAACTTTGATGTGGAGGCTGAAATATTAGTAGCGCTATCCTGCTGAAGAATTTGCCCTCTCCTGTGGTTTGTAATGTAAGGGGCAGCACAAATGTCTTGATACCTTAGGCTGTTGATGTTGCCATCCACTCTGCAGATCTCTTGTATGCCCCCTTACTGAATGTAACCCCAAACCATGATTTTTCCTTCACCAAACTTGACTGATTTCTGTGAGAATCTTGGGTCCATGCGGGTTCCAATAGGTCTTCTGCAGTATTTGTGATGATTGGGATGGTTCAACAGATGATTCATCGGAAAAATCAACCTTCTGCATGGGATCAACGACAAGACTTTTGTCAGGTATTGTACAAAAAAGATGAGATTGAGGTGAATTTTCATCAGTGTACATTCATCTCTATTACTTAAGCTAATACTTAATTCCACATTTAGAGTGCACCCAGTGTGTATTGTATTGTTCCAATGTTCATTTGATACTGAGCCTTTAATTGTCATTCATAAGGGATTTATAAAGCATAAATAGTCCTCACTTTAAATTAAGTCACAAAACTGGATGAAGTTGAATTAATAAAGCCTTTATTAACATACAAATTAACCATTACTCTATGCCTAAATAATAAGATGTATAAATGTTAATCATTTACTAACTCATTCTGAATAATCCTTAAAAAACCCAACTACTCTTAAATATAAATTATTTGTAAATAATGCAATACTTAATTTAGTTATGAAAAATTAATAAGTCACAAATTTTGAAAGTACAACCATTCCGCACATTTTAAATGTGATTATAAGGCAACAATAGAGCATTTATATCTGCAATAAACTGCTTACTAACGTCTAGTAATGTAGAATTAATGCTTAACAAATAATGAATTCACTATTTTAATGCAATTTGTAAGTTTTTCTCCATTTGCATGTTTTCTTAACTTGCAGTGCGTTTGAGCTCGCTGAGCTACCATAGGTTTCACTATTAAAGATGTGATCATCTGAAACAAATACAGGCATTTAAAGTAAAAGAGCAAAACAGATTAAAATCACCATATGACACTTAGTTTTATCCTTACTGATTCATCTACACAAACGTCTCTTTAGCAGTGCATTTACAGTATTCTCAGTGATGATTTCCCTCCATCAACACACACACACTGTTTTATTGCTCTCTCTCCTGCTCTTATACACAAACACACACTGTGACCAGCACACATCCCCAGGCTTGTTTCTTTTACAAACGAAACAATATGAACTCTCAGCATGTGGGCGAAGGAAATGTCACCTAAAACATAACAAGAAATGAAGCCCAGGAGAAATCAGCCACTTGCTACAGCGAAAGGTAATAATAACAGATGCTGTGATGCAGAGACGAGCTGCACTTCTGTCAGAATGATGGAGGCCTTGCATTTACATAATGAACAAACAGCGTCATAAACAAACAGCGCCAGAAGGAAGGAGGCAGAATCAAACCGCGACAGAGAATGAAGATGTTACTCGCACGTGTGACATGTAGGGAGGAGCAGAATGATTTACAGATATTACAGGGTAGACAAACACAGCCATGTTTTATGCGTTTACCTGTGTCCACTCGTTGGTTTGGGGGTCGTAGGCTTCTACTGTGTTGAGATAAACCTGACCATCGTAACCACCGACAGCATACAAACGGTCACCCAGAAGACACACACCCACAGCGTCTCTGCTGAGGCTCATGGGAGCTACCGCTGTCCACATGTCTGTCTTCGGGTCGTACCTGAAATAAGTAGTTAAACAGAGTATTTATATAAAGAATATCAAATGTTGATTTACATATATTCATTTGATTTCTATTGCACAGGATTTTGTCACTGCCATTTTGTCACCTTGTAATTATTTGGATCAGTTTATCTAACATTTTGGTCAAAATGTTATCCACGTGTTCTTATTCTGCAACAGCTTATTTACAATATAGTATCTATGTTTGCGCAGGTGCTTTTTTTTCTCCCCCATTTCATTTTTGATATATGGAATGCATTTTTAAAAAAATATTGAAAGCGAAATACTGATAGAATTTCAATTGTCAAAAAAATTCCATTTCCCAGTAGAATAAATTCCATTGTCCAGTCATTTTTGGCTATAAATGCAAAGTTGGGCAGTAAACATTAACCATTTCAGAGTTGAAAATAAATATAAAATAATAATAAAAAAAAAGATAGGCCACAGCTTGCTGTGCATTAAATGATTTGTGATGTTTAAATCAGTTATGTATCTATACATTCATAAATTTAAACCTGATTTAAATTTTAAAAATGGCATTTTGAAGAGTGGGTAGCGATGTTGCCTCACAGCAAGAGGGTCGCTGGCTCGAGCCCCGGTTGGGTCAGTTGGCATTTCAGTGTGGTGTTTGCATGGTCACGTGCGGGTTTCCTCCAGGTCCTCTGTTTTATCCCACAGTACAAAGACATGCTCAATTTAGAGCTTTTTATTTTAAAAAATTACAAAAAAATGCAGTATTTTCAGTTTCGACATAAATTATATATACTATGCATAAACACATTTATTTGTTTTTAAGAAATCCATATTTGGCGGAATAAAACTGATTTTGAATCACAACAAATGATTTTGGTAAGACTTTATTTTGATGGTCCCTACTGCATATTTTGTTGTAAGTTGCATTGCATGGACGTGCCGATTAATTCTAATTTGAGTATATTGAGTATACTGTCTGCTAAATATCTGCTGATACTGCTCCTTCAAAAGACAATTAACTGACTATAAGAAACTTTGCAAGTTTATGTCAACTTACACTAACTCTAAGCCCAACCTAACAGTTAACTTATATTCTAATGAAAATTAGTTGGCATGTAGATGCAGTGCAACTTAAATTCAACAAAAAAGTGATACCCTAATAATGAATATTAATATTTAACATAAACAAATATTAATATTTACTCAAAACCATACCCGAGGATTATTAATATACAGTGTCTCTTTATTTTTCCATTACTGTATAATTTTTGTGTACATACTTTCTAAAGAAAGCACCACAACCATTTCCTCTTAATAATGTAATAAGAAACACTTCTTGAGCACTAAATGAGCACTGAATACTAGAGTATTGGTGAAATATAATAATAATAATAATAATTTATAACATTATCAGCATAACACTTATAAGCTTAATATTACCATTCAAGCACAACATTCTGAAATCTCTTAATCCCCGTTTAAGACACACAGGTAGAAAACATGAATCTGTGTGTCAGTCAGAAGTCAAAGACCCGGCAAGTAAACGTTGACTGACAGAAAGTGAGCTCGGTGAGGGTGCAAGCAGTGTTCAAGTCTTCAGCAGACAGACAGATCTTTAAACTGAGGTTCAACAGGGGCAGAAAGACAGACAGATGAGAGGAGACGATGAGTACGAGTCAGTCACAATCAACACCAAACACAATCTCAGTAAACGCACTGTTTCTAAGACATGACCAACAGCAACAAAAATCACACTCACAGGTCAAACAACCACCCGGAAAAATGATCTCGGTAGGCTACAGATGTACATAAAACAAGACGCAGCTCATAAAATCTAAATGCCGCGGAGCACAGTGTTCATTCTCCAGGGGAAAAGCTTTTATCTGTTTGTTTATGTGGAAACTCACCAAGATAAAAAAGGTCTTTCTTCTCAATGTTGTGCATTAATCACAAGTGTGATTTTACCTGTGCGTCTGTTCAAATGGGTTCTTTTCAATTTTTAATTAAAGCACAAGCTCCAGTGTCTTGTGGTGCTCATATGAAGCAATAATTGGCACGTCCCGCAAGGCCTTCCCACATGCTGAAGTTGCTGTGGTCCAAATCAATAGACTCAAACACAAAACAAGCTTCAGCAGCATCATCAATTACTACAACTTGACAAACAAATTGTCTGAGGGACATAAAACTTTACATACACAACATTCTATTGTTTATGATCACATGCAAAAGCACAATATTTACAATTTTTTTTATTACAGATTAATAAATGTATGCAAAATTACACTAGAACAGTGTTATATACTGTACACTAAAATAGCTGGGTTCAACACAATTCCTTCATGTTGTCCCAAGACAAACAGATTAAGTTAACTTAATTGTTTTTAGTGGATGGAACATGAAACAATTAAGTTGTAATAATGGTTTGTTCTGTAGACTATCGAAAACAAATATAGATTAAAGGGGATAATAATTTTGAATTAAAAATTAAAAACTGCTTTTATTCTAGCTGAAATAAAACAAATAAGACTTTCTCCATTGCTCTGTTAAACATCATTTGGGAAATATTTAAAAAAGAAAAAAAAAGAAAAAATCAAAGGGGGGCTAATAATTCTGACTTTGACTGTATGTGGTTATATTATCCGAAATGTTTTTGAAGCAGTGCCAGCCCATCCAACAGGCAATACAAGTGGTCACTTGGAGGCCTGTCCTTCATGATGGAGCCCATGGTTTCCACCTTAACCTATTTATTGTGACCATTTCTTAGTATGCATTCTTATCTGTTCTTACAGTAAGTTCTCGTGAAATGTCATCATCAGTCACTGCTGAAGTACCAGTGCCAAATTCACATCTTCCCAAAGTGTTCCTGTTCCTTATACCAAGGATGCAACAGACAAACACCAAACACACTTTAATATGCTTTGTGTTTTAACAGACTGCATAGAGCAGCATTATAAGAGAACCCTAAAATGTATTTTGTATGATAAAACTTATGAGCTGCTTCCTCCCCATGTAATCACGAGCAAAAGAACTGTAAGTGGCCAACAGTGACTGATAAAAGTTCCACTGCTTTCGTGCTGTTTCACGCTCGTCTCTAAACAGCAATTGCTTCAGCGGTCTTGTTTTATTTTGATGGCTTTCACCCTCACTCTACTTCATACTACCAAGAAAACTCCCACGATTCCACACTTAGTCACATCATTAAACTACACTATTGTTTGTTGTAAATACATGATCTCTAGTGGCAAAAATGACATACCCTGCCTTTAAAGTGACACCTAAAAATACATAACTGCTGTTCAGAACTTGTAAAACTTTTATCTTCAGAACACAGTTTTTATTAAACCTGAGAGTTTTATGTTCCTCAGATGAAAGTCTATTTAGTCCTGACTCTGACATTTCAAAAGATCTGAAAAGAGATTAAAATTAAATCCATACGAATCGAGGGGTTTAATATAAGTCTTCTCAAGAGACACAATTGCTTCGTAAGATTAACAGTTTTCATTTAGCTTTTGTTAACACATAAAGAGGGATTGATCAGCAAACATAAACACAAGCTTAAACATAGCTACTTCACATGCAAGGACAAACTTCATTTTAGGGGTGTGTAAGATACTGACAAAAAAGGATATTGATCCTATATAAACATCTTTTGATGATGACACTTAAACTTTTTTTGCTGGTTTTGACAGCTTTTTAAAAAAATATTATTATTATTATTATTATTATTATTATTACAACTATTATTATTATTATTATCATTATTATTAATATTATTACTATTATTACTATTATTATTATATTTCATTATATAACGAATTCCTGAAAAATAAGAATATATTACAAATGAATAAGTATTAACTATAATATGTAATAATAATAATAATAATAATAACAATAATAATAGGGTTAATAATTAACTAGTAGTCATAATAAGAGGGAATAAAATGCCACAAAAATGCATGTTTGCTGTATTTGGGTGTATGACCTAACCAAAAATATCATATGGCTATAATTAATAGTATGGCTTATAGTATCGCAGCAGCAGCAGTATTAGATATTAAATTTCCTGTCTATACAGCAGTGGTGTATAAATACTCAAGCTACTGTAATTGAGTGTTTTTTCTCAATAATTGTACAATTTACTAAAGCAGTGTTGGAGAAAGTTACTTTAGAAAGTAGTGCATTACAATATTGAGTTACACCCCCCAAAAAGTAACTATTTGTGTTACTTACAGTAGTTACTTTTTATGAAAAGTAATGCATTACGTTACTTTTGGGTTACTGTTGCATTACTTTTTCTAACTAGGAAGCTTTTCTTTCTTCTTTTTTAATTTGAGGTGCTCAGCTATTAACAATGCACTGTGTAACCTACACCTTCATTTACCTTTTTTTATTCAACGCAATTAAAATAATGACAATACTTCCATTCCAGAGGGAACAAGTTCCATTGTTTCTGCAAGAAGCAAATTTTCTTACTGAGTACATGATTCACTGAGACTACGCTAAGTTTACTTAAGTAATTTATTTTGTAAACATTAAAGAAACTAAAAAGTAACTCATACTTTGAGTAATATCTACAAGAGGTACTTTTACTATACTTGCACTACATTTTTGGACAAGTAATGGTACTTTAAGTATGATTTTCTGTGCTCTTTCCACCACATATACAGTAAATATGACTATATAATATATAGACTACATCTGCAAAATTATGCATAATCATTTATAAATAGCTACAACTTATAATAACTGCCTTAAAGTCTCGATTTCCGAACCATAAAGCTTTTGTTTTGCTGAAGCAATGACAGGAGGCCCTATTGTACACCAAACAAACAATTTTTAAATTCAACCCCCTGAACGTTGCCCTCATTTCAGTTCCTTTTCTTCTGCCACTCACCTTTCGACGCAGTCTGACAGTCGAGATGCTAAGCTTGAAGCTGGAGCGTCATGGCCACCGATAGCATAGAGAAAGCCATTCCACGTCGCTACACCGACACCACCTCTGCGTTTAGACATGGGGGCACAGCTGCTCCATTTGTTGGTGTGAGGGTCGAAACACTCCACCGATTTCAGACACGAACTTCCATCTCTGCCACCCACAGCATACAGCCTTACGCAAACAGACAGAACATGTTTGAGATTAAACCCGAGCAGCATTTTAATCGCAGGTATGGAGACTACTGTATCAAAAGCAGGTTTTTCATTATAGTGAGTTATTGACTGAAACCGAACAAGAACAGCAATTTAGTGTACTTGTTATTGATATAGCCACAAATGTAGAATAAATTCATTACATTGTTTCCAACAGTATAGCAGATTAGAAATTAGTAAGACATATAAACATAATTTATTGCTTAAAAACTCTTAATTATCAAAGCTCTGTGGTTGGCTAAACTATGCATTGCATGATGTTTACAAATAAGCAGAACAAATACAGTACATTATATTTGATAAATATATTTCAGCTTTACATTTTTGGTGTTGTGCCTGAGAATACAGATCTCAGTAAAGATAGACATTCAGTTATTGCTTTCCCTACACTATTAGCAAGATGTTTAATGTTATTCAAGTGGAAAAGAGTAGACCCCCCAACACACGTTAGCTGGATAAATGATATCTTACATTTAATTGGAAAAGATTAAATACATAATTTGAGGCTTGAAACGCAAGTTCCAAGACAAATGGTCCCCCTTTATTAAATACTTTCAAGAACTTCTTGGCCTTTAGAATAAATTTATTTATTTATATTTATTTCTTTATACCTTTTTTCTACGTTATTTCTATTTTGTACTCTTTGAATGTTACCAAGCCCTTCATGTCAAGTGATAACATACTGACTAAAGAAATGTGACAATGTTTTCCATCACTGTTAACTTTGATATATGTGGAAGGTTTTGTGATGCCATGACATTTTGGTGTTTAAGGATACACCTCTTTTGTATATTCCTAGATGTTGCAAAGCCTCTCATGTTAAATTATAATAAATATGGTACACTGTTTTCTCACTATCAACTCAGAAAGTCTGGAACGATATATATTTTATTTTTATGTTTTTTTTCTCTCTCATTCAATGCCGTGGTTGTGGTAGAGGAAGTTGTCGTACTGATTTTAATTGTAAATTCAAAAACTCAATAAATAAATATATATAAAAAATGTATGTATATAAGTATATAAATATACACACATATATATATATATATATATATATATATATATATATATATATATATATATATATATATATATATATATATATATATATATATATATAATACAGCTTAATTTTTTTTTAATGCATAAGGTTTTACTAATGAAAAAAAAATAATTTTTTAATAAGGTTTCTTTATTTTGATTATTTATAGTCCATCATGAACCAAATATAATATAGTATGCTTTGTAGAGTTCAGAGGTAAGCACTTAAGTGTCCTTCTTTCATTTTTCTTACTACAAAGCCCAGGTAAAATAAAATTTAATAAAAATATAATAAAATAAAATAAAATTATATTGAAATAAATTAATATATTGTTTCTGTAATCAATTTCATCATCTGCAATGTTGAATTGGGATTATATACAGATATCTCAGGTGTATTATTTTGGCAGTGTTACCTTTTGTAATTGTCTTTAATTATGTTACCGTGTTGTACGCTGTTAGTCTTTGTTTACCAAATTGTTTGACGTAATCTTTATTTCTTAACGTGTACGTCTTTATTTCTTATTGTGTATATACTTGTATAATTACCATTGTAGTTTATTAAATCTGATAATCAAAGACACGTGTCAGTATATAATAACTTATTTTGCTGCACATTTATATGAATTTATGTGTACATTTTCTTACATTTTCTATACAGTGCATCTGTAAAGTATTCATATCACTTCACTTTTTCCACATTTGTTTATGTGACAGCCTAATTACCAAATGGATTAAATTAATTTATTTCCTTAAAATTCTACACACAATACCCCATAATGTCAATGTGAATTTTTTTTAATGGCTGAAAATTTAATAAAAAACCTGTAAAATAACATGTATGTAAGTATTATGCTCAATACTTTGTTGATGCACCTTTGGCAGCCTTTGGCAGCCATTACAGCCTCAAGTCTTTTTGAATATGATGCCATCAGCTTGGCACACCTGTCTTTGGGAATGTTTGCCCATTCCTCTTTGCAGTACCTCTCAAGCTCTATCAGGTTGTTGGTTGCAAAAAAAAACCTCATGTTTTATGCCACCTGTGCTTACTTGCTGTTTAACACTGCTACTCCAACTGTGCTTCGAGGTGTTGCCATTGATGCTACGAAGCTCCATTGGCGAGCCTGAGGGTCCCAGCGCTCCACTGTGCTTAGGTAACTCCATCCGTCATGACCTCCAACTGCATACATGGGGCCTTCTAACACAGCAACACCTACAGTACAAACACACACTTAAATTAACGTTCAGTTGGCTCTTAAACAGCTATCTGTGAGTTTTAAATTACTATCTGTGAGTGCAAATCAACAGATTTAGCTGTGAGAGAAAAAAATCAACTTACAAATACAAATATTAATTACACATACAAATAAATAGCTCACATTCTAAATTTACCTTAATAGGTTTTCACTAAAATCTGACAAAGTTCTTCAATATCTGTAATATACATTCATTAGTGACTTGATTAGGTACACCTGTCCAACTGCTTGTTACCGCAAAATTCTAATCAGCCAATCACATGGCAGCAACTCAATGCATTTAGACATGTAGACATGGGCTGTTTCTCAATATGCGTTCTTGTCTGTAATTGCGTTCTTGAGTCCTTGTGAAACGTCATCAATCGTCGCCAAAGTACTGTTCCAATTCAAAGTTCACATCTGGGAAAGTACAGATAAAGTTCCCAGATGTGTACTTGATCTGCCCCTTTGACCAAGGATGCATCAAGAGGTGACTTGTGAAACTTGCGACGCTAAGGTATCCCAGAATGCTTTGCAACTAAACCAGCAAACGCTAATGGTGAAGAAGAAAACCTGCACGGTTTTAAAAATACTCCTTTACAGTGTCACAAAATAAAGTTTTAAAAGTTATTCAGGCGAGAATGTAGTTGTTTTAAACTGGAATCAGCAGTTTATTCACTAAGATTTTGAAGCGTTTTTGGCGATGTGGCTCAGCTTATGTGGACCAGCCTGCCAGCGGGAGCTCCATTGTAGTTAAAACATGATATTTAATACATCTTGTGTATATCAAATGGACAGTTTTTGGTCTTATAAATCTATTATTGTTCTATTATTATTCTCAGGTGTATTATTTTGGCAGTGTTACCTTTTGTAATTGTCTTTAATTATGTTACTGTGTTGTACGCTGTTAGTCTTTGTTTACCAAATTGTTTGACGTAATCTTTATTTCTTAATGTGTACGTCTTTATTTCTTATTGTGTATATACTTGTATAATTACCATTGTAGTTTATTAAATCTGATAATCAAAGACACATGTCAGTATATAATAACTCATTTTGCTGCACATTTATATGAATTTATGTGTACATTTTCTTAAATCAAAAATGTAGATTTATCATATTAATTTAATATTAATTACAGGGTCGTGCTTTATATAATTAGATCATGTTATTGTTAATGTACAGTGAAACCAATGAATCCATGGTGAGGTAGATGACATTATAAAGTACACTGCCATTCCATTTGAAGAAGTGCCCGACTTGTGTCCTCGCGTCCTCGAGAGTTCTTTCTTCCAAGTCTGAACTTGGCAAGTCTGACCTTCCAAGGACGCAAATCCAAACTTTGCATACTTGATATTGAGAAACTGCCATGGCAAAGAAGATCTGCTGTTGTTCAAACTGAGCATCAGAATGAGGAACAAAGGTGATTTAAGTGATTTTGAACGTAGCATGGTTGTTGGTGCCAGGCGGGCTGGTCTGAGTATTTCAGAAACTGCTGATCTACTGGGATTTTCACGCACAACAATCTCAAGGGTTTACAGAAAATCATCTAAAAAAGAGAAAATATTCAGTGAGCGGCAGTTCTGTGTTCGCAAATGCCTTGTTGATGCCAGAGGTCAGGGGATAATGGCCAGACTGGTTTGAGCTGATAGAAAGGCAACAGGAACTCAAATAACCACTCGTTACAACTGAGGAATGCAGAAGAGCATCTCTGAACGCACAACACGTCAAACCTTCAGGTCATATATTTAAAACATATTTAAATAAATTATCATGACAACTAAATGCACATTATTTCTCACCCAGGCCATGTCTGTGTGTGGACATGGGAGGCATGACGCTCCAGCTTTTGCTGCGAGGGTTGTAACACTCCACCGTATTTAGGGTCTTCAGGCCATCTCGTCCCCCAACTACATACAGACGGTCATCCAGAACTGCCACACCGAACTGCAGCCTTCTCCCACTCATGACAGCCACCTGCCGCCACGTGTCCCTCCGTAAACAGTACTGCTCAATACTGGTAGCTCCTGGAAAAACAATAACGATATAACGGCTATAAGCACATACAGTATCCGAGCTTCAGTCAAGTCCATCTTTATTGCTTTGAGCACTTTATAAAGTACATTATTCACATACATTTTAATATCAATATATAAATTCATTCATTTTCATTCAGCTTAGACTCTTATTTATTAAGGGTTGCCGCAGTGGATTAAACAGTGAACTATTCCGGCAAAACTTTTATGCAGCCATACACCCATATACTCTCATTCACACACGCACTTATACACTTAGGCCAATTTTGTTTACCCAATACGATATACGCCGAAGCATGCTAATAGGACTTTTAATCTGCCAGTAACCTGGGTTAAGCGTTTCCGGCGAATTGTATGCCAATGCAAAAACCGGCGCGTTTAAGGTCTGCTTTCTTTAAAAATCAGCGATCTCCACTAGCTGAGTGATATCCGATTTAAAGTGGGTCTCAGATTGCACAAGAAGCACTGCATTACATTACATTTTCTCTGCCATGTCTTTATAATATGAGCATTTATTTTACCCCAGTACATTCAATGGAGCTTCTGCGCAAACCTGCCAATTCTGATGGGCGCATGCGAGTAAACGGCTTTTTGTCTCTTTTTCCGCTTGAGCAACTAAATGAATGCCAAAGTTTATTTAACTGAATGTATTTCAATGACAATACAACATCGATGCTGTAAAAGGAACTGTATAAAATGGAAAAAAGTTCACAATAACAGGTAATCGGAAGATTATCAGTATGGAAAAAACACTAGCTCGGGATAAAACCCTATTCGCCTACAGCCCGTATCTTTGGACTGTGAGGGAAACCCGAGTCATAGTGCTAACCATTGAGCCACTGTACCACTATTATTATATAAATAGATAATGAAAATTGTTAGTTTATCAAAAAGCAAAGAACTGAAAGATATTTAGAGGTGTGTAAAATGTAAGATATAAAATAATATTTAAGCAAGACAATTTGATGGTCATAAATTGATCACCCAAAAAAAACAAAAAAAACAATTAGCATCACTGTTTCACATTCCACTTGTTCCAAAGATGTTTTTTATTCTTTGTTTATTGGTGGTTATAACATAAAAACAAACAAAGCAAAACAAGATGAACAAAATAAATAAATAAATAAATAAAAAAATAAAAAAAATAATAAATAAATAAATAAAAAATTAATGCTGCAAGCTGCAATGAAAAGGACCTCACACCCAGGCTTACCGCCACCCAGAGGCCTTAGGATGACAGAGAACAGTAGATAATAATAATTTAAGCTGACATTAATTTCAAAATCTGAGAAAACCACAGTTTTACGCCAAACTTCCTTCTGTCAGCAGGTGACTGTAACTCAATATTGGCATGCAGATGTCTTCAGGAGAGGAATCTCATCAAACTTTGAGAGTGAATTTTCAGGCAGATCTGACATTGTGTGTGAGTTATAAGTACTTCCTCCTCCATGGCAATGCACTGAACTTTGTCACCCCTTCAACGGAAACTCTAGATCTTCACAATTTAACATCACAAAGGCCTTTGGACTAAACTGACTTGATTCAACCTGATGAAAAAAGTCTAGGAGGAGACTTTTTTGTAGGTTTGATGTGCGTGCCAAGTTTCTTATGTCTGTATAAAACGTAGCTCTGGGGTCAGTTCCAATTCCGAAACCTATAACAAACGTAAATTTTCACCATTTCTGGCAAGTGTGCAAAGTTAGTGATTTTTCGAGCATGTTTAGACCCTCAAAACTGCGAGTCATTCTTAAGAAGAAGAAGAAGATGATGATGATGATGATGATGAAGAAGAAGAAGAAGAAGAAGAAGAAGAAGAAGAAGAAGAAGAAGAAGAAGAAGAAGAAATAATAATAAATGGAGCAATTCCAACAGGTCCTACGCACTGTTCCGGTGCTCAATCCCTAAAGATACCACTGAATACAAGTATCGTAACAAGTCATAAAATACAAATCAAAAAAGCTGAGAATAAAAAAATCAAAGTAAATAATAACAACAAAGTCCTGCTGTCATTTACTAAAGTCACATTTCAAACATGTTTGAGTTTCTTTTTTCTGAATTGGACAAATTGACCTAATTTAAAGAATATTTGAAACCGAAATAATGATATTTTTTGTGACTAAACTATGGTTGTCACCAGGGCCGGAGTGGGACTCCTTTTCAGCCCTGGAGTTTCAAGCCTCAGACCGGGCCACCTTAGTTCATGACTGACTATATTAAAATAAGGTCATTTCCAAATCAGTTTCTAATGGCACTATCACAGCTGCTATAGAACTTTCAACAACCCTAGCAGTATTAAATGTCTTAAAAATAAATAAATAATAATAATAATTAGTTACTCAGATGAGGTTCGAACCCGGGTCGGCAGCGTCGTAACGCAACGTGCTGACCACTGGACAACAACAGCTTTTCTCAGCGTAGAGACTCATTTGATTCATACCATCATTAACCTGCAGGCTGCATCTTGCTCACGACGCTGCGAGAAAATAGATAAAACGAGCAGAGCTGCGGCAAATTAATGAATAAAAAGAGTGAGGCTGTGGTCAAATAAATAAATAAATGAAAAAAATGTGACTGCTGAGAGCCACAGAGTCTGGAGCTAGGGACACCGGCCCTCGCAGCCAAAAAATGGACAGACCCACCGGGAATTCTCCCTGTCCTCCCAATTAGCCAATCCGGGAATGATTGTCACAGTAGAGATTCTACAGTTTCCAACATTCTTCAAACCATTTTATGTTCAACAGAGAAAACATAATAACAATAAAAATTTAGAACTACTTGGTGGTGAGTGAACTGTCATTTTTGAAAATAACAATTCCTTTAAGAAATACGTTTACATTTCAGGTCAATTTCTCTGCTTATTTTAGGACTGTTCAGTCATTTTGTGTGAGTACAGAGAAAGCACAGAAGAACAGAACATCTAAAGAGATGACCCAGCATTTTTTAATCTCTGAAATATCTTTGAGTTAATAGGCTGAAGAACAACAAAGGAAGCAAAAAGCCTGAAGGACTAAACTGTGAAAGCAAAAGCCACTGTGCTTCTTTCAGACAATTTTGCTTTCTAAAAAAGTACAGTGATTGCATGGAATAAAAATAGTGTAGGGTAGGTATGGAAGCTAAAGTACAGCAAAAAAAAAAAAAAAAAGCCTGGATCTACTTTACAGGCATTACAAGTTCAATATAATATTGTATAGTGATGCCATGTTAAGTCTGTTAACATAAATTATTTTTTTAAATATGTTAAAAAATGTTAATGTTAATGAAAAATTAAACACTCAAATTCCTCAATTGTTGATCCATAAGAGTCAAGAGGTGGGGGGGTTGATAACTTAATTAGGGATATTGCAACGTTCACTAATGTAAACTTTACTAAATTATATGTGTTTTAAGAATTTTATTTCAGAAACAGCATATTTTCATACAGGAAATGACTGCCTTTGACTGTTATGTTCAAACAGCACTATTACCCAAGAATAGGAAATGAAAGTGTAAAATGATTTAATATTCCTTTTAATATATTAAATCAGGGATGTGCAGTGGGTTTCTCAGTGGCAGGTGTTCAAATGCAAAATAGGGCATCTATCAGTGTGTTTATGTACATTAGTCAACATTTGAAGTGGATCAAAACAATAAAAGGTGATGTTCAGTAGTTTAAAGAGAACTTGGGTCTTGAATAACTTCAAATGTTGATTATTAGAATCCTTGCATTGGCCCCCAGTTAGATTTAAGGCCCAATTCCAATTCTATTTTTTTTTTTTAATTTAGCAGGGTTTTTTTTTTAAGTTTATTTTTTTATGTATTAAAAATATGCTTGTTTGTTGTAAAAATTCTTAATATTGGCAAAAAATACTTAAATTTGTGCATCTCCTGACTCGCGTATGCAGCCATGTTGCTGTTGTATTCTGGGAAGATTTCGTACCCCTTGGTTTTTAGTGTGGTCCTAGAAAACGCCTTCAAGCTAAAGATAATTGGGACACCCCCACCCCTTCACATGAATATGTAAAATGAGGGTAAGGGCTAAGGGGTAGAATTAGGATTGGGCCTTAGAGTGTTTAAACATTATGATGCTTACTTTTGATGCTCTACATGGCCAGGCACCACATCACTGAACTGTTACATCTACACACTCCTAATGATAGATTGCGTTCATCTCAGTCAGACTTGATAGTTCTACCTCTCATCTCAGATCTATGGATGATCAGGGTGTTTCTTCCTATGCTCCCGTCCTCTGGAATTCCCTGCCTCCTAAACCTACAGGGAAATTCAGAATTATGATACTTTTAATGTTGACTTGAAGACATTTTTTTTTTTTACAACTTGCTTTTACTTGCTGATTTTGTATTATTTAATTGTATTATTAGCACAGTGTTGTAATTGAGAAACTGCTTTTAAAGGTGCTATATAAAATAAAGTTTATTATTATTATTAGGCGACACAGTGGTGCAGTGGGTAGTATCGTCACCTCACAGCAAGAAGGTCAATGTTCGAGCCCTGGCTGGGCCAGTTGGCATTTCTGTGTGGAGATTGCATGTTTTCCCCATGTTTGTGTGGGTTGCCTCTGGGTGCTCCGGTCTCTTCCACAGTCCAAAGACATGCGCTATATGTGAATTGGGTAAACTAAATTGTCTGTAGTGTATGTCTTGGTCCTCCAGGTTGGGGGTTGAGCGTAGGGTTAACGAACAATCTCATAATAAAAAAAAAAAAAACGAAATGTTACGAAACACCAACATGGTGTTATATTTGATATAAAAGGCCCTGGGAGTAAGTAATTATTATTATTATTATTATTATTATTATTGTATACAAACCTGATAATCAGCACTGTAAAAAAACAACATAACATAAATATGGTGCCTTTGCATGTTGTACATTCTTAAATGAATTATGTCTTATGAACTGTAGTATTTTTTACTACAGTGTTGTTGTTGTTGTTGTTGTTGTTGTTGTTGTTGTTTCATTGTATGAGTCAAAATTATAGATATTTCTTCTATGAAGGAGAAATTAAGAGTAGGGTTTCATTGTTATCAGCCCTGAAACTGTTATAAGCCCTCTTTTATGTTTCCCCAATTTCTGTTAAATGGAAAGAAGATTTTTTTAACACATTTCTAAACTTATTAATTTAATAACTAATTTCTAATTACTGATTTGTTGTTGTTGTTGTTGTTGTTGTTGTTGTTGTTGTTGTTGTTGATGATGATGATGATGATGATAATTGTGACCCTGGATCACAAAACCAGTCTCATGTTACACAGGCATATTTTTGTCAAAAGCAAAATTACATTACATGAGTCAAAATTATAGATATTTCTTTTATGCCAAAAATCAATAGAATACCAAGTAAAGTTCATGTTACATGATTATATTTTGTACTGTTTCCTACTGTAAATATATCAAAACTCAATTAATATGCATTACTAAGAACTGTATTTGGACAATTTTAAAGATTTTCTCAGTGTTTAGATTTGGGCGGTTTTATCGCTCAAATTCCAGATTTTCTTGGAAAAAAATTTGTCCTATCCGAACAAACAATGCCTTACAAATATTTCATTTAGAATTTAGATGACATACACATCTCAATTTTAAACAAAATAAATGACGCTTATGACTGATTTTGTGGTTCACCTAACCTAACTTTTAATTCATTTTATAAAATCCAATCTCCCACAGCAACCCAAAACCCAGTCCACCATATTGAAAGTCTCTAATGGTAATCTACACACCGCTTGGTCATGCAAATCACCTTCATGATTCACCATTAACACAACACACCTCTGAATTCAGACCGTTCACCTTCACCCTCATTAAACATAATGCATACATCAGACCTTCCTGCTAAAAAGGCAGATCTCAGCACATCTCCAGTTACCTAACAGATCAACCTTTCACCATAAGGACGACACAGCACTCATTTAAATTCAAACTTCTGTCTCATTTTAACCTACTCAAATGTAAAACACCAAATGTTTAAGGCACCATTAATTCAAAAGCCTGTGAAAATGCAAATGTCTCAACAGTCCACTGCACTATAACGAATGACAGAGTGAGAGAGAGAGAAAGTGAATGAGGGAGAGATGAAGAGTCGGGTTTCATTGTCATCTGCCCAGAAATTGTTTAAATTACAAAAACCCTACGGATACAATTGAAGTCAGAATTATTAGCCTAATAATTTCTGTTTAAACGGAAAAATAGTTTTAATAACGCATTTCTAATAACTGACTTATTTTATCTTTGCCATGATGACAGTACATAATATTTTACTAGATATTTTTTAAATATAGTAGTATTCATCTTAAAGTGACATTTTAACTAGGCAACAGGTTAACTAGGCAAGTTAGTATAACAATGTATTGTTCTGTAGACTATTGGAAATAAATTTGCTTAAAAGGGTTAATAATATTGACCTTAAAATGGTTTTAAAACAATTATAACTGATTTTATTCTATTCAAAATAAAACTAATCAGACTTTCTCTAGAAGAAAAAATATTGTAGGAAATACTGTGAAAAATTCCTTCCCCTGTTAAACATCATTTGGGAAATATTTAAAAAAGAGAAAGAAAAATAAAATCACAGAAAGGCTAATAATTTTCACTTCAACTGTACATCAGTAAAAGTGATACCTTTAGTGGCATCCATGCCACCCACGGCAAACAGGGCCCCTACGGTGGCCTTGCGGGGCCGAGTCCTCGGGCTTTGGAGTAGTGGACGTCTTTCTGGCAACAAATGATACTTCATGGCCTCCATCACCAGCCGCTGACACTCCACACTGTCCCTTAGCAAAGGATTCGCCTCCATATCAGCTAAAAACTGCATGGAAAACAACACAAGAACAGTGTTATAGATCATAAAATATACAATATTTACAGCACTGTGATTTTTTTTTAAAATTGCAAATTGTTGTTATTTTTAAGAACATAAAAAGCCCTATTTTCATTTCACAGTTAATTTATCCCCATGACGTTGTCCATGTCGTTTACATGTTTCTTCACCCAAGATGTTAAATAAATGTAAATAAATCTGATCTTTAAACCTGTTATTGAACACATTCAGTGTGTATCTTTTTCTTTATTCAGTAAGCTTGTAGATTGTTTATTATATTTTATGCAGATGCACACCCATACAGAATCATCAACTCCCAATCAATCCAATCTCTCTAAAATGATAAATTATTTCCAAATAGTTATTTGAATAGTTATTATATCAACTGAAACTGTATTCATATTGCAATATATATATCGCAGAATTAAAAAAAATTCCAATTTAAAATTTTTTCAATACTGTGCAGCCCTACATAAAAGTTTTACTTTTCTGATCGTGACTGGCAGTGTCTGGGATTGAACTCCCTAATGTCCCCTTTTTAGTAAAGCTTGCCCTAAGGCCATGTGTGGACCAAAGCATATTATGCAGCTAAAAATGCCAAAGCTCTTCTAAAACTGCATAGCTGATGCAATTGAAAAAGTGATTCTGTGGTGCAGCCTTTTTTTCATTGAGAGTTAAGCCGCGATCACACTGCACTTTTCAGCTTATATACACTTCCATTCATAAGTATGCAGATTCAACAGACCAGAAACGCAAGCTTGTGCGACATTGCAAAGTTCAAGCTTGGTGAACTTTGACCTGGAAAATCGCATCATGTGACTGCGTGAGATCAATCGAAGATCATAACCTGACCTCTCTGTACAGAAATTCAAAACAAGGACCAATCACTCGTATCAAAGACTCGTAATCCCGCCCCTTTTCGCAGCACCAAATGACAGAATTTCGCAAGCACAAACTCTGGTGTGATTGCGTCATGAGACACTTAGGTTGCTATGACAGAACAACCAGAGTAAACAAGCACTAGTATCAACTCATTTCACAAATAAGTAATTGTCAGCACAATATACAGCAATGTTAATTTCTCCTCCATTTTTGTAACAGTTGTATACTTGTCCCACTCCCCCTCCACTGTGATTTGATGAACTTTCAACTCTTTCTCAACTGTGCATGAAATAGATCCTAGGCACCTCGTCACGCTACTGCCATAAAAAAAAAAAAATGCAGTACTCCCATTGAAAACAACTGAAAAAATATGTTTTGCTTCAGAGAAGAAACACTTGAGTGAATAGACGGCTGGCTGTGTTAACTTGTTTAAAGTAAAATACTGCAGAAATGCACATTCAATCTGTAGAGAATGTAGACTCTTTACAATTATATACATTCTAGTCTTATATATATATAAATTATTAATAACACAACACAACACAAACATCATCCACTAAACTAATCAGTTCTATCAGGATTTTGCCAATTGTCAAAAAGGAGTCAAATTGTTATTTAGATGTAAAAAAAAAAAAAAAAAAGACAAGATTTCCACAGCAAAACAAGAAATGAAACAATTATTGTGAATTTTGCTTTGAATTTACAAATTGGATTTGTGTATTTACGAATTGTGTTTTTAATATACGAATTAGATTTGTGAATCGCGATTTTAATTCACAAGTTGGATGTGTATTTATGAATTGTGTTTTGAATTTACGAATTGGATTTGTGTATTTTTGAATCACCTTTTTAATATACAAATTGGTTTGTGTATTTTTGAACCATGATTCGAATTTAGAAATTAGATTTGTGTATTTACGAATTGTGTTTTTAATTTACGAACTGGATTTGTGTATTTTTTTTTATCACGTTTTTAATATACTAATTGGATTTGTGCACTTTTGAATCACAATTTGAATTTACCAGTTGGATTTCTGTATTTAGGAATTGTGTTTTGAATTTACAAACTTGATTTGTGTATTTTTTGAATCACATTTGTAATATACGAATTGGAATTGTGTATTTTTGAATTACGATTTGAATTTACAAATTGGATTCATGAATTTACAAATTGTGTTATGAAATTACGAATTGGATTTGTGTAATATTGAATGGCATTTAGAATTTTTAATTGATTTTTGCATTTTTGAATCACGTTTTTAACATACATATTATATTTGTGCATTTTTGAATCACGATTAGAATTTACGAATTGGATTTTTGTATTTACGAATTGTGTTTTGAATTCACAAATTGGATTTGTGTATTTATGAATGGCATTTTGAATTTATGAATTGATTTGTGTATTTTTAAATTTTGTTTTGAATGCACAAATTTGATTTGTGTATTTTTGAATGGTGTTTGAATTCACAAATTGGATTTGTGTAATTGTCAATTTGTTTTTTGAATTTACAAACTGGATTTGTTCATTTTTGAATCACGTTTTGAATTTATGTATTAAATTTGTGTATTTTTTAATTGTATTTTGAATTTACCAGTTGGATTTGTGTTTTTTTAATCGTGTTTTGAATTTAAGATTTTTTTTTATCATTTTTTAAATTTATGAATTAGATTTGGGTAATTCTGAATTGTGCTTTGAATTTACGAACTGTATTTGTGTATTTTTGAATCGTGTTTTGAATTTATAAATTGGATTTGTGTATTTTACGAATTTTGTTTTGAACTTAAGAATTGTATTTCGCAAATGTGAATTGTGTTATGGATGTATGAATTGTCTTTTGTAAATGTATTATTTTTGAGACTGATTTAAGACTGATATTTATTTAGTTTACTTTATCTCTACATAATAAACCGGGGTATAGCAGACCCTTCGCTCTGCTTTTATAGATCCACAGCTGTTCAATTGCTTCTCTAAAAAAAGAAAGCACATCAGTCATACTGTCATACAGACCAAGGAACAGCTTGCCAACTTCAAAATGCTTGATTTATGGTAGAGAAGATTAGCTTGAAGATTAGCTGAAGGCTTTAAAACTTTCAGGCAGGAAGGGTATTTGCAAGAAAAGTGACCAAGACAGCAGACAAACACTGACAGGCTGGAGAGTTATTTGTCTGACTTGAACAAAACACTCCAGACATTACACATCTCAGTATGGATCTGGCACCTACAAACGAGTGGCAAGAAGTAACTGTTATTGCTGCAGTGCTGGATTTTTGTCAGAATCCATGTGCCAAAGCTGAAATCTCCAGGAAGAAATTTTAGTTTAATGAGGCTAAACTTGAGGACTCTTTGACAGAAGCCAAACAGAGTTCTGCAGTTACAGGATACACCATGAGCAGCTGTCAAAAATGGTGGTTGTGGCAATAGCATTCTCCAGGGTAGCTTTCAGGAGAAAGAATTTTAGGCAAATTACTGAGAACATGTTTGAGTCAGACAAAAAATCTGTGCTTATGGTGAAGGCTAATTTTCTAGAAGGACAATGGTCCAAATCACACAGCAAAACCCCTTAAAGAACAGGCTTGAATCCATTTGAACATCTGCCATATGACCTAAAAAACAGATTGCAGGAACTCTTTGTACAATTATATAGAGTTCGCATTTAAGAATGGTCAAAATGATCACAAGCTAAATGTGCAAAGCTCTTAAAAAGACATGACATGTAAAAGTGGTGCTAAAATATATTTCTTAAAAATTGTAAATCAAGATAGAATGCAGAAATATGCTGCATTTAAATGACTAAATACATAAATAATGTAAAACAAAGTAAAATAAGGTAAAACTAAAAAAATAGCAAAAAAATGTATTTTAATATACAGCTCCTGAGAAATGGGAATGTATACAGTCAAGCTTGAAATTATAAAAATCCCAGGGGTATGAATAGGTTTGGGCTCGACTGTATATGCTTATAATTTCCCAATATGGATATGGAAAATTACATATTGCTCTTTTGTCATTTTGTGCAGATAAATTCTTGAATTTATAAAGACATTATTATAGTGTCAGGGTTTCAGGAAGGATGAGGGAGCGACGACTCAAATGCAACATAAGATGGTATTTATTAATAAAAATAAAACAAAAAGGACAACAAAAACCACCCCGAGGGGGAAAAACATAACTATAAAACAAACACTCAAACAAACTTGGATGGGCTGGCAGAACAGACAGGACTGGATAGCACAGGACATGGAAATAACAACGAACTGGCACAGGACTGAAAACATGAGGGGATTATAAAGCAAAAGTAAAATTGACACACATGAACATGACAAACTAATGAGTTAACAAGGAGGGTAGGACTAGACAATAAACGGGAGAGCGCATGACACAAAGAGACAACACAAGCTATGCGCTCACATAAAACAGGACAAGAACATGCAGCCAATGAGAGAACTCATTAACCGCATGCTCATGACAACAAACACAACACTGAAGCACACGACAAAAGCACGTGACCACAATGTAAACACCAAGCCACGTGCTTTGACAAGAGACGCAAGACACGAGCACACGATAGATAAACACCTTACCGTGCGCTCACACATAAGCAACGTGCATGCTTCATCTCAGCGCCAACCAAAACTGAAACCAACTAGACGGAGGCGCCGAGAAAAAAGCAGCGCGATGCTGACAGAACAAACACAAACACTAGTACAAGAGCGCGCGTGTCTGAGGGACTCCGCATACACCCACGATGGCGCGCGCACACACAGAGACAGAAACAGGACCAGACATGGGTAGTGTCCGAGCTCTGCCACCAAAACAAGAATTTACAAGACCAGAGTGGCAGAACCCTGACATATAGTCTAGAAAAATATATATAAAGATTTATACTCAAAACATACCTTATAATGAAAAATCTAAATTATAAAGACTTTAAAATGGTTTAAAATGGTCAAATTGATATAGATGGTGTAACCCGTGGATTGTGACACTGACAACAGGGTTAGGATCCAAATGCAGGTTTACTGAGGCAGTCAGTCAACCAATGGTTAACACAGGTGCAAACTGATGTGTGAAGGCAATCCAGAATCGTAGTCACAACAACTGG